GCTGGTGAGGGAGGATAGGGAGTGTGTTTGGGGTTGCCTGTGATGGGGTTCAGGTCCTTGTGGCCTGGGCCAGCAGTTCAATTGCTATCATTCCAGCATTCTGTGCAAAGGAACAGCTTGGGCACCTTACAAAGAGACTGTTTGAGGGGTGTACAGGGAGGGGAGGGTACACCTGTACTTCTTAGGTGCTGCAGAGCCAGGGGCAAGGGGGAGGACTTGCTTATGGATGACCAAGGACCTTGTGGGCACTGACTGTGTTCACAGAACCCTGCAGTGTTTGGCATCAGCGGGAGCTGGATTATGACAGCTAGAGGAAGAGTAGGACCGAGGCGATCTCCAGCAGAGTACAGTTTGTGGAGCTGCGTGTGTCTCAGCCTCCTAGGATAGGCTCAACAGGGAGCCCAACCCAGAAAGCAGGGTTGCCCAGCACTTGGCCGATGTTCCCTGTTGTTGTATTTGGACCTCAGAGGCTCTTGCTGTAAATTTAAGGGCCGGGTTGCTCAATGCCATGGCGCTCCCAGCTCCAGGGAGCACACGCGGCAGCCCTGCTGGGTCTAGGGTTTTCAATGCAAGCCCGGTCATGTTGGATAGGAACGAGACAGAAGTGGTTGTCTCTTCTCTTACCCTCCTTTCCCCTTAAACTGGACCCTTAGGGATTGAATTGTGTCCTATGAATTTGACCTTGTTTGGAAATCAGGTCTTTGTAGATATGATTAAAGATGAGGTCATATAGGGGTGGGGTGGGCCCTTCGTCCAATGGCTGGTGTCTCCTATGAGCAGACAGCCTTGTGAAGACAGAGGCAGAGGCCGGGGTCTCCTTAATGGCTCCCAACAATCCAAGGCAGGGTGCACCAAAGGTTGCCAGCTCACACCACAATAACCTACATTACAGCACAAGTACATACTTCATATGATAACATACATGTCATATCTCACCACAGATTCCCCACAGCATGGACACGCGGACATGCCTCTAATTATACCTGACACACATGCCCCACACCATAAGCATACATGTGGCCAGATGTACCTCTCATGATACAAAGAACACTCATTGCACATTATACCTCCCTTAAATCACATGACAAATACACACACCCCTCACGTGGCACCATAAATGCACGTTTCCCATCCCACATAGTACACACACACATTGCATCATCCCACAAGCAACACGCGTCTCAGGCTAGACACAATACTTCATTCAGAGCACACACAGTGCCTTATACCCTAACACACACACACACACACACACACACACACACACACACGCACAACACACACACATCTCACTTCATCTCCTGCATACCCATCATTTTTGCCATGACGGGAATGTGTCATGTCACTGCACAGATTGGTCCCACACCTCACCTCACCCCCAAACGCATGACTCTCCTGCCAAATAAAACACCTCATCTATTATTCCACCCTCTCATCACCCCAGGTCTGAACTGCATGCATGCCCCTCCCTTGCCGGCCCCCAAACACACCCCTGCCCTCTTGGACTGCTGGCCACAGTTAACGCGATCACACAGCCTTCCTGGCAGAGTGGGTGTTGAGCGTCATGTGACCCCACGTGCTGGTGCAGAGAAGGCCATTGGTGAGACCTCCAAGACATCCAGGGGGAAGGAAGGAAAACCCCAGGGCTGGAGACTGAGGCAGCCAAGGAGTGTGGGGGCCAAGATGTGGAGGGAGGCCAGGCCAGGGCTGGGGGAGGCCTCAGTGTAGGTTCTGCAAATGGTAGCACAGGGACTACCTGCATGGGAGCCTGGGAGTGTGTCACAATGCCACCTTGCTACAGCAACTTGTCTGGGCTTGCTGAAGCAATTTCTAGATGACCTGGAGGCTACATTTCAGATATGTCTCCCTGGAGGCCTGCTCTGGCCTTCCCTTGCCCTCAACCCCTCCCCTCCTGTTTTGTTATGGAGGATTGAATCAATAACCTTTGCACTGAGCTACATCCCCAGGCTTTTTATCTCATTTTAAAATTTTGAGACAGAGTATTACTAAGTTACTGAATTGCCCAGGCTGGGTTTGAATTTATGATCCTACCTCAGCCTCCCGGAGTGCTGGGATTACAGGTGACCCCCCCTCCCCTGCAGCCACCGGGGAAGGAAGGTGGTAGTGAGCCACCAAGGGTTCAGGAGGGCAATGAGCAGAGTGAGGCCTTTTATTTGGAGTCAGGATCTTGCTGAATTGCCTCAAACTTGTGATCCTCCTGCCTCAGTCTCCGAGTGCTGGGATTACAAGAGTGCACCACCATGCATAGCAAAACAAGGCGTTTGGAGGTTAATTTTATAGCATTGTTTAGTTAAGATGGGAGGCGGGAAGGAAGAAGGAGGAATTGACCTACCTCATGTGCGACCTGGGTGGAAGGCTAATGTGTGAACCCCACTGACAGTGCCCCAGTAAATTTATCAGCAGGACTCTGCAGTCGGTGTGGCAGGGCTGGTAATGAAGGACTGAGGAAGACCTGGATTTCAGAGGCATCTACAGAAGACCTGTGCAGGCCCCACACCCAGAGGACGAAGGGTCTTGAAGCTTCTGGGTGGAGGGATGCCCAGGTAGTCACCCTGCTTCCTTCTGTGCCCTTTCCCCCCTATTCAGGCTGTACCTGGTCCCCTGAGCTGGGCTGGTGGGAGCTTTCCAGCCCTTTCTGCCTTGGTTATTAGCACCCCAGAGCTCTGGTTCAGCTGAGCACAGGCCCACGGCGTTTACAAATTGCCAGTTCTGTGCTGTACTTCAAATCTTGGCGTGAACTGGGCGTGGTGGTGCAACCCTGAAAGTCCAGCTACTTAGAAGCCCAAGACTGTGAATTTGAGGCCAGCCTGAACAAGACCCTGTCCAAACCAAACTGACGAGATCGGGTGTGTTCAGGGTGGTATGGCTGTAGACTCCAAACCAAACTGAACGGAACCATAGCAACCCAGAAACCTCCGTGTGGGTGACAGATGGATGAGCAAGAGTTTGTAGTGAGGCTGTGTGGGATGCCCCCAGTTGACTGAAAGTCCTCCAGCCTCCTTGCACAGCAGGACACGGGAGCCTACTACTGCACAGACCCAGCTGTTCTGAGTGGAGGTTGGGTAGGAAGGAAATGAGGGTCCCTAGCGCTGGCTGTAGGGCAAGAGAGGAGCCTGGGGCTGTAGACATTGCTGTAGCGCAAGCTAGAGCTTTCTGTCTGCAGGTGAGGGCTGTGTCTAGGCCTGCCATGTGTGCTCTGTGTGGTTCCTGTCACAACCAGTGGGGGATCCCCCTGAATTAGGGCCACAGCTGTGGGGCAGACTTGCGCCTGTTTGTGGTCCTGGTCATGCCCTCGATCTGGTGTTGCCAGGCTCTGGCCTCACCCAGGGTAAGCTGCCAGCTGTGAGGACACTGGGAGGTGCCAGGCAGAGAGTCAGGAGGGCCATCCCAAGGGAATGGGTCAGCCTTGTCCTGCCTCAGGCTGCTAGGGGCCTGGATCTGACCACTCTCTGCTTTCTCCTAGGAGCTTTGCCTCACTTTTCTTTCTGAACTGGCGAGAGAATTCAGAGCTCTCACTCTGCAGTCTGTGGAGTTTACAGGCACATCCATGTCCACTCCTCTCTGCCCTCCCAGGTAGGCAGAGGGCCTGGAGACAAGGGTGTGACTGTGAGGGCAGACTGGGCATGGCCTGGGGTAGGTGGCCTCTGGCACATCCTGTTCACTTCCGGCAGCCTGCTCCAAGGCCTCAGGGATTGCTTGGCAGCTCAGTCCCAAGCTCCACCCTGTCCTCCCAGGGCCCAGCTTGTCCCAGTCTCAGAAGTGTCAGGTGCAGCAGTTTCAGGGACAGATTCTGAGCGCTGGCCCACACGTGGCCAGCTTACCCTTATTCTCCTCCTGGATAGTCTTACAATGGTCCCTACAGCTGGATTCTTGTCTCCCTTCAGTGACTCGAGGGACAAGTCTGTCTCCTAATTTTCCTTTTTTCTCCCCATCAGTGTGGGTCCCTGGGCCCCAGCCCCATGTATGACCTCATAGACTTTGTGTTCTGATTTGTTTTATTTTTAAATCATTTTATTTTTAATTTTTATTTATTTGTGTGTGCGTGCGTGTGTGTGTGTGTGTGTGTGTGTGTGTGTGTGGCCAGCTCAGCCCACCAGGGGGCGGGGCTGGCTGGCATGTGGTGCTGGGGATTGAACCTCAGTCTCTGTGCTTTGCCAAGCTTTTTCTAAGTAGGTGCTTTAGACCACTGAGCCATCTCACCAGCCCTCTGATTTGTTTTAAAGGTTCACAAATACCCAAACTGTCCACAAAATATTGTCTGCTTTTCTTGTTTTTCAGAGACACTGGGATTCCATGGACCCAACAGTGAGAGAGGAGTGAGCCCTCATGCCCCATCTCCTTCAGAACTCCCATGGGGTGGCCACATGTGGAAGCAGAAAGCAAAGGGGTATCTTTTTTTTAGGATTGAACTCAGGTCCTTGGGGTTGCCAGGCAAGTGCTTATTCAATTGAGCCATCTCCCTGGCCCCGAAAAGGGGTATATCTTGGTAGTTTGTTTAGGTCAGCCACCTGGCCAAGAAGAATCTGGAGGGACAAAGAAATGGCAGAACTGGAAGCACAGTCCAAACTCAGCACTGTTACATGTGTTCTAGGAATTTGGCAGGCCAAAGAGTCTGAATTAAAGTCTGTATATTAGCCCTGCCTTTACCTGGCCACGGGATAGTGGCCACTCCAAATAGGATGATTAGGAAGATTAGGATGTGCCCCCAAGTACCTCCTACCCATGATGCACCCTGTCCCCCTTCACAGTGCCTGCAGCTTCCTTTAGGTTCCCTTGAATTCTGGTAATCTTTGAGCTTGATGTGGATGCACCTCCGCTCCCTCCACACCACCCACCCTCCCAGTTGCTAGTACTGCCTGCACCTCAGGAACCAGTCTTTCACCTGGCCTCCTTGAATGGCCCCACCAGAGAGCCTGCTATTTCTGCTGGCATCCTGATAGAGACATGTGGAGCCCCTCAATGCCAGCGCAAGTGCTTACTGTGAATCCGATGCCCACGGTGGCCGAGAAGGAGCCTGGGATGAACTTGCCCTGGTCGAACTGAACCAGCAGAGATGTTTTCCCCACGCCACTGTCACCCACCAGGATGGTCTGCAAGGGAGCACAGGAAGGGGAGTGAGAACTGTGGTTGCACTGGTCCTTGAGATGCAGTTGTGGCTGTAGGATCCAGTTCTTTCTAAACACACACAAACTCAAAGCCCTCCCCCCATGCAACACACGTACATACATACACAGACACTCAGGCATAGATACCATAGGTACCCTCAACTCTTGACTTTCTTTTGAAGTCACTGAAAAGGCACTGAAAAGAAGTAGAGAGAACTTTCTTCCCACCCAAGTTGGTGAACATCTGATGTGACCTTGAGAATAGGGGTCTCGGGCTTCTAGCCGCAGGGCTGGTGCTGAGGCTTCCCATGGACAGTTCCCAAGGAGAGGCACTGAGGCAGGCATGTCCTGGGAGACGCAGGGCTCCTCTCATACCTGGCTTCAGCTAGAGGATTCCCTCAGGGGGTCTGACTCCCCTGGCCTCCCAGCTCTAATCCCATTTCTCTCATAGGTAATTTCTTTAATAAAATCCATGTGCATTTCTTTCCTTTTTGGCACCTCCTTCTTGGAAGACCAGAATTAACATGAGGTCCATGGGTCTCCCACATGTGCTGGCCATAAAAAGCCAGCCTGCAGAATGCAGCGAGTAGCTTTAGGGGAAGCGGAGAAAGGCTACTCTGGGACGTCTATCCTGGGAGAGGGAAGGGATGAGAATTAGCTTGGAAACTCAGATGAAATATTTAAAAGAAAATCATAAGCAACAGAGAAAAATATCTGTGAATTCAGAGGCGGTACCTATCAGCCCTCTATGCAGGGACGAGTAGGTAAATGCCTTGCACTTGGGGCTGCTGTAGCCATTAAGGCAAACAGGAGGTTGTTGGGAAGGCTGAGGAAGAGTCATCAAGATTTTAAAGCATAAAAACTGCCAGGGCCTCCTCTTTGGGTCAGCGCCGTAGGCCCCAGTCACTGTTGGGCTCTGAGCGTGGCATTGTAAAGAACTGGTATTAGAACAGGTCGAGCGTAAGCTCACCCGTGATGTTGACGTTGGCTGTTCTCTGACTGCAGTTGCCCCATCTTCATCTCCTGAACTAAACTGTTTGCTTTCACTTCCTCCTGGGTGACAGAGCGCCATTGTATGTTACCAGCAATGACATACAATTTATTCATTTAAATCTCGAATCTAACTTCTGCACACTGTGAGAAGTCTTTCCTCCAAAGAATATTTCAGAAGTTGGGGCCAGGGAGTTGGCTCAGTAGAATAAGCGCCTCCCTGGCAAGCGCAAGGGCCTGAGTTCAATCCCCGGTTCCGCCAAAAAAAAAAAAAAAAAAAAAAAAGAATATTTCAGAAAGTGAAGAATAAATTGTGCAAGTTTACCTCATTTACTTCCTAAAGGGTATAGCAGATTGTTTTTCCTTTTATATTTTTCCCTTTCAGGGTGAAGAATTCTTGTCCCTTCCCATGCCTGTCATAGGAAATAGTCCTGTCCTGGGACCTTTGCTGGCTGTGTGGGGACTGGTCTAGGGGCCCAGGAATGGAGACAGTGCTCAGAGCTTTCAATCCTGCAGGGGGGAGGGGTAGGATAGAGCTTTCATATTGGTTTTCCTGGCAATGTCTGTAATCTGCTGGCATTGACTCCAGTAGGTTTTTCTTTCTTTCTTTCTTTCTTTTTTTTTTTTTTTTTTGGTCTAGGCCATCATGGAGAATTCAGAACTGCTTAATTCAGAAGCATTGCTGAATTATTTCCCTCTACTCTAAGACATCTTTGTCTTTTCTCCAGATTTTTCACTGTTCTTTCTCCCTTCCAGCTCACTTCAGAACATTTCATTGGTCAATCAAAGTTAATCATGATCTGACCAAAGCCTCTGGGTCAGCATCATCATGATTCGTGATTTGTACAAATGTCCCTGTTCACTTTTCTTAAGCATGTTACTTATGTCTGTGTTTGTGGCTCTTCCACTTTCAAAGGGAATTTGAGATCAAACAAAACCCCACTTTTACAAGAGACAGCCAAAGAGAGGGTGGGGAGGACCACCTGGGCAACTCTCCTTGAAAGAGGAGCAGTTGTCCCCATTTGGCTGGGTCTGACCCTATTTCCGTGTATTGATATGTACAGAGCTGGCCAGGACTTTTCCTTATCCTTTCAGTTGGCTTTAAGCAGTGCATCTTGATCTAGCTGAGTTGCTGGAGGTAGTCTCTGAAGACAGCAGCATGTTTCTCTGGAACCCCCACCTGCTGTTCCCAAGGGTGAGCCCGGTCAAGACAGGATGAAGAGCAAGTGCTCCACACTGTTGGCTGGGATGGAGCCTCCAGATAGAGGCCATGACTTCCTTGGTCATTTTTTAAAAATTTTATTTTGTGTGTGTGTGTGTGTGTGTGTGTGTGTGGCCAGCTCAGCCCACCAGGGGGCGGGGCTGGCTGGCATGTGGTGCTGGGGGATTGAACCACGGTCCCTGTGCTTTGCTAAGCTTGTTCTAAGTAGGTGCTTTAGACCACTGAGCCATCTCACCAGCCCCTTCCTTGGTCTTGAAAGATTACACATCAGAGCTGAAGCACTGATCCCAAAACTTTAGATATGATCTCAACTGCGTGATGCAGATTACTCTCTGCATACCCTTCTCTCTGCGTGTCACAGAGGCGAATGCAGGCCTCCCGCCTAGCCCAGCTCATGGTACTCATGTGCTTCCTGCTGTTCTCACAGGTACTCATCCTTAAGCCACTCCTCCTACATGAGTGAATAAAACCTGGATTAGGTTTTGGATTGAGGCCTTTGGTCCGGATAGCCATCACCGTGGCTGGACTTAGGACCCCTTGGCTCCCTATAGCTACAAATATGCCTTGGTATCTTTATTCTCACTGTGGGTTGTACTGGGTGTGGTAGATTACAATGGACTTGATGGGATTCCAATAATTTATCTGTGGATTTACAGATATAAACCTTCTGGACTGAGATGGGGACCAGAAAGGGCTCTCTATAACAGGATTTCAGAAAGTGTGGAAAGGAGAAGGGGGTGCATGTAGTGGGGGTCAGTTATACCTTCTTCCCACAGTGAGGCTACTACACGAGCATTATTTGAGTCTAGGTTTCTTGGCAGCCAAGACAAAATGGCAAACCAGATAGTAGTTTTGTACTTGTACCACAAGGAATGCCTGGATCCTTTTGCCCAGTGATTAATTTCTACTGGCATGTGATCCTAGGAGGAAGCTTACATGGATGTAAGGGGCCTCAAGTAACAAAACTATTGGCCTTTTGCATCAGATGCATAGCTTTTCCTACAGCTGTTGCATCAACCACCGGTGAAAGCAGGGGCCTCAGGGTATATTGTCTTTCAGTGGAAGGCTTTCTGAAGGAGCCAGGCTAGTTCTAAGTGTACTGCTTTCCTGTGACTGTCATTCCGGGGCAGCATTTGGAAAACCTCAATGAACAAGTGATTCCCATGGCCCCTAAAGTGATTCTGAGTGACATTCTTATCCAGGTAGGAAATCAGACATCATCAAGAAAAAAAAAATCATTAGATCTGCTGCATAGAAATAAAAATCCTCTATTGGATAGAAGATTCTAGAAACAAAGTCAAATGAGAATTGACATAGAAAAACATTTGAAGACATAAAACAGGGTTACTATCTCTCACAATGCAATCCAAGGAAAACAGATTGTCAACCTGACTGGGCTCCAGTCCTCGCTGTGCAGTCCAACACTAATATAGATGAGACTATGGAGATAGTTTGTAGATGTGGCTAACATCTACAGACGGTTGACCTGAATTATTCAATAATCTGGGGATCTTACCTGGTTCCCTTACCTGGACCTCACTGAAAGATGTACTTTTATACAGTGGAATACTACTCAGCTATAATGAAGGATAAACTAGGGGCCTTTGTAGGTAAATGGATACAATGAGAGACCATGTGGATAAGTGAAATAAATCAAACTTGCGTGTGTAGACATCATTTATCTCCCTAGTATAAGAAACTATCTAAATCTACAATAGATAATTGTGAAAGGGAAAGAAACTGTTCAAAAAGAAAGAACAACTGGGATGGGTAAAAGGAGAGGAAAAGAAAAATATATACACACAAAAGATAATAAAGTTATACTACTGACTTATTTTAGTTCTTGAAAAAAATGGTTTATGCTTATGTTGCTTGATTAAATGTGTAGGTCTTTATCTTGTAATCTGAGCAACTATTGGGAAGATAGCAATACACAACAGATTAACCATTGTTAATCTATTATCTTATTTTGAAATTCTGTATTTTTTTTTCTCCTTAAAATAAAAAAAAAAATTCTTTAAGGGAAAAAAAGTGAAACTGAAGTTTCCCAAAGGACAGTCATCTCATTCTTCGCAGCTCCACCCTCATGACCCAGTCACCCTCAAAGGCCCCAACATCTTAATACCACCAGATTGGACAGTAGGTTTCAGCACATGAACGGTAGGGGAACACAGTATAATATAGGGAAGTTTTCTTTTTCTGTTTTGAAAAAAATCTTATTTATTTGGTACAGGGTCTCACTACATGGCTCAGACTTGTAGTGATTCTCCTGTCTCAGCCTCCCCAGCACTGGGATTACAGGTACACACCACCATGCCTTTTCCAGAGGCCAGCATGGTGCTCCCAGATTCTGAGGCTGGCATGACATGAGGTATCAGGGATCGAACGCAGGTCCTTGTACTTGCCAGGCAGGCACATAGACTACTGAGCTACCTCCCCAGCCCTGACCCTCTATTTAATAAACTGAAATAAATTGTTTTTCTACAGAAGAAGAATGAGAGCTTGGTTATGGATGTACATCAAGTTATTAGCAGTTATTTCTCTGTGGTTGGGTTAAGAGTGATTTAAATGTATTTTTATTTGCTATTCTATAATGAACACATATTATAGAACGTGCTTCCATATTATGGAAAAATGTCTGGGGAAGCGGGTTGTGCCAGGACAACTCAGAAAAAGCAAAGAGCAATGCCAATGTGAGCCTGACTCCTGCTGAGCAGAGGTTTGTCTTAGCTTCCAAATCGAGCTAGCCCATTAATTGGTGCTTAAAAGATCA